GAGACTGTCAGGGGCCTGAGCTTAACGCGGTGCCGGCCCGCTCTCCATCAATTGTAGGAGCTGGAAGGCGACCATGGTTGGTGGGAAAGTGGCCGGCGTCGCACCACAGCCCACTGGCACGCCCCAGCGTTCACAGCGAACAAGCGTGTATCTATGAAGAAGCAGCGGAAAGACGTGTCATCTGAGAGGTTTTTAATGAGGGAGCCTGGGTTTCACACTGATGATGACGTCTGAAAACAGGTCATTGTCATGTTGTGACGTCAGTGACACGTCATCTATCCGTTGGTGATGTGGTCGAAAACAGTCGGGGGGGGCTCAGAAGGGGCGGGATAAGGCCGCCTCCGGCTGGTACCAATAAAGATCGATTAGTGATCGATTCAGGACGAAAACAACCAGTGGTGAAAACTGGTTCGTTCTATGCCTTTTGACGCCCCCCCCCGCGAGTGATTGCGACGATCGACTATAGGTGCTTCCGGCGAAAGGAAGCTTTCCTCATTGTTCCGTGGGTCACGGTAGCCTGCAGTTTCCAAGGATCTCTGGGATGGGTGACCCGCTTACCATGGGTGGAAACTTAGATTGTACGACGTTGTCGGGGTAAAGTGGCTCAGGCTCAGGCTCACCCATCCTGCACCGTTTTTGGAGCTGAAGGGTGCAGTAACCCTGATAACGGGTTTCAGTGTAGCTCTCCTGGATACATACTACGCCGACCATCTGAAACATCTCTGAACGTGGACTTTCAGCCGATCTCTCCACTAAAATACGATCCAGACGATCCGTCGACATTTCCTCCGGAGGAAAAGCCGCCGAAAAGCTCCGATAAGAAAGCGGACAAGGATAAGAAGGCCAAGGAAAAAGAGAAAAAAGAGAAAGATAAAAAACCGCCGCCAAAAAGCCAAGCAAGCCAGCTTCGTTCGGCCTATCGTCCTCCTGTTGGTAAGTTCCTGGCTACCCATCGCTCAAATCAGGGCACAGGTAGTCGGGGAGGGCATGTGGTGGCGCAGCTGTGTAACGTCACGTCTGCTCGTCTGTCCCCTATCACCCAGACATTCATAATGTTCACGCTTTTTTACCTATGGCAACCAATCCCTCACAAAATGTGCCTAAAACCACTTCAACACTGTTCTAGACATTTTCTCGGTGAGAGGACGCAGACGAGCAGGGAATACAGGATCATAATCGTGCTGCCGTCAAATAAAGTCTAATAGTCTTTTGAAAAAATAGAGTGACTTACAAAGTGAATTTCACCGTGCAGGTTAGGTTAATCACCCCTAGAAGCGTTCTGACAGCTCTGACTCTGCACTCGGTTAGGAGATTCACGTTGCAGCTCCGATTGCAAACTAGGTGGCCTGCTGCGATAGCAATTTTACGTACAGTCAGTGACGTCCTGCTGCGCACGTGAAACCGCCCACCGCGCCGTTCTCTCCACGCAAATGATCTTCTCAATCCCTGGAAGTCCCCGTCGTGGACGGAAGCTTGCTCCCATCCCTTGTCTGTTGTGCCTTGATTTACCAAGCTCATCTGAAATCGAGGAGGAAGTTTTCCGAAGTGAATTTAAATAAAACTGTGTTGAAAGCCGATGTTCAGGAGCACTTCGAGAAGCGAACGACCTCGAAACGGTAAACGGTATGGTGAGCAACTGGGGAGCCGTTCAAGAACCGTTGCCGGCCGATAACGAAAAACCAAAATGATGAGACTAATCCTGAAAATTGAAATAAAGAGGTGTATGACTACTGTTTCCACTCAGTAGTAATGTTGTGCCTTTATAAGGTGTTTAGATGGAAGAATCTCCCTTCCAGAGCCTGAATCGGCCCCGCGTCGTGATGTCTTTCTTTCGAGACCTTCCTCAATGTAGACGCGGATCAAAGACATAAGGCGAAACGATCTTCACACTCGGTCCAAAATCCGCGTAGCAGTCATGGTTCTGTAAAGTTGGAAACGCTGCGCCGCGGCAGAAAGCGAGTAAAACTTGCTCAAACACTTCGAAAGAAGCCGTTTGTTTTACACGGAATGACGATTTCCGGACAATTCCCTTGGCATTCGGTATGTCCAGCATGATGGGGCGCCATAAGACTGCCTTCCCTTGGGACAAAAGTGCCGAACCCAACGCCTGCCCCCGGGTGTGCGAATTCTGTCATTGCTAGAGCCCAGCAATCCTACACGTTGGTACTTGGTGCATAGTGCTGCTTGCCTTTACAATGCTGTGTTCGCCCTACCATGACCGGACGGGCTTTCTGCATAGTCGTGAATGCTTGCTATAAACCCCTCTACCCATCGGGCCAAAAAACACGAAGACCTTCTTTTCGAGTGCTGTTAAGCAGCGCTGATCAGGAGAATCCTGTAACTGGTGGAAAATCTTTGCCAAAGTAGAACCCCTAGATTTTTCCCTGTCTTGTCACGCGACCCCTTCCCCCCTCGACCTGCCTATCCGCCTTAGATGGCTTTCTAATCTTGTTGCCACTTGTACCAAAACTCTGCTTCCTCCGAAACTTGCTTTCGAGCCAGGGCCATCTGATTGGGCTATTTTGGTCCAGTCTTCACGAAGCACGCCCCTCCCCCCCCACCTAGAAGGCTCGGGCTTGTTTCGACTCCCCTCCTCTTGATTCCAGTCGAGACGGGCGCTCACGAGGAGGCGGTGGCTATACGGGGGGGCGGTATATAGCTACTCTCAGGGGTCCAGAATTCGCGGATTCACCAATACGGACCCCTCCCCCTGCCGGGGTCCAGCGACCATACGCGCTAACCCCTCTGTAGTAAGAGGTGGACATTCCCAACGATGTTGTCGTCTACCTCTCGAACGCCGGCTCTGGGGTGGAGACGGAACGCTGGGTAGGAGTGAGATATAAGCTCAAATAAGTACAGCAAATCAGGCGAAAACTCATCCCCAAAAAAAAATTTCCTCAAGGTCACATATGGCATCCTTTCAAAGCCACGAGCAAATACTAATGGCCCCTACCTCCGGCGACCATATCACTCCCACTGAGGATTCCCCAGAGTGATATGCGGCGTGTCTTGGGTGTTGTGTCCTGTTCCCGCAGTTCTCTGAATTCAATAGCAGCTGGCGATCGGTGTGCTACTCGGAGACTTCCTCAAGATGATCTCGTGCAAGTTCTGCTGACCCAGGGTTAGACTTTTCAGTGAAACAGTGTGTTTTCTGAGGCGGTATTGATCATATGACGCAGCTGGTGTCCTTTACGTCTACCGCATAACATGCGGCAACGGCGCCCTCGTGTTGCTCCTCTCCAGCTGATAGTCAGCAGATGAAGCAGCAGAAGCTGAAGACATGAACGCCGAAATGTTTTGTGACGTCTACGGTCATCAACCTACTGTACGGGTCTTCTGTCCTGGACATCTCAATCTTATAGGTAAGAACAATTCAATTTATCAGTTAGCTCTTCCATATTTTCTATTTTTCTCATTTTTGTGATAAGTGATACTTTATGCTTGTCCTGCCTTACTCTGAGAAACTAAAGATTTTGGCATGAGCTTCAGCTCTCCATCGATCAATAATCTTGTGCTCAATCTGTTCTCTTATCCGAGCATTTTTTTGCACTTTATGCGCTTTGTAAGCGATCAACGTCTTTCTAGACCAGATCGATTCTCACTGAACATCGAGTCAATAGATGCTTGAAGAATCACTCATGATTTCCACCTCTCTTAGGTGATACCCTTCCCTTCCTATCCTACCTAAAATCTTCCCAAACTTTCCCAACTTCCATAGTCATCCACCTCCTCAAAAAACCGCCGTAAATCAAAGTGGATACACAGCGTACATTGGAGGGAAAAAACCAAGAATATTCTTCTTGAAGGCGAATACGGCCCCTCTGTCCCTACAGCCACCTAAGACGCCCTTCCTCGTTGAGGGTCTACTCGACTCCCTTTATGGGAAAACATTGTAAACCATCACCCAAAGTAAGTGGCGCTAATTCGCCACTGATATGCCACCGTGACACACCCGAAAATCTATTAAATTATGCTCTTTAATCTTGTTCCGCTGTGATGAGGGAGTGTGAAAATAAGGCAGGATTTCTAGCGCGGACTGCATCTTCGTTTTTTTCTTCTGCAAGCGAAGACGTATCACATGCTCCTGACAGTCGTTTCCAGCCATTTGGTCGCTTACCCCGCTTAACAAATGGTGAAGAACGCGGCTGGCGGCGCGGCAAAGACCCGACCTCATTGACCGCCTCTCTCCGCCATGGCGAACCGGCAGACTCTATTGGTATATATCCAAAAACCGATGCGCTAATATAGCTCAAGATCAATAGGGATACCACACCGCGATAAAACCTGCCCGGTCGGACTCATCGTAACAGCCGCGGTAAATGATGGCGGTAAGGTAAACCTAGAATTCGATGGGGGTGTCTGAGGGGGATGGGACGAATGGGAGTGTGTGTTGCCATTCGCTTGTCAGGATGTCATCGTATAGTTAGAAGGTACCGTTCAGGAGGAGATCGCAGCCGGGGAACGGCGCCGTAGAAGGCTGGAAAAGGAGGGACATGTGAATGACGTTGGCTCGTGACTCCTGGCAATCCCAAACGGTGTCCTCGATGAGGGCTCGATTGTGCGCAAAGGGGTAGAGTGGCTTCACTATTCTGAAAGAATAAAATCTCTATCACAACCGCACAAATTAACCTTTCGTCCACCCATGGGTTAAAGGCACCGTCTGCGCTTATCATGTGGGCGAAGTCAAGCTCATTTTTGTTGCCCAGCTCCGCCCAAGTAATCCGTGCTGACCATGCCGTCGTCTAGGCTATCTTTCTGATAAGGCAGACTAATTATAGGGCCCATGATAGCGTTCAAGAAGTGGGGTCGTTTATTATTTCCGGGACAGCTATTGAATATTAGCTTCTGAAAACGCATGCCATCGCTCGAAACTTACACTGCTATTTCTTGGAAGTTCTGATATACTTCTAGGCCAGCCTGCAGTATCGCCGCATCACTTCATGGTTGCCATTTACCCTACCCGCCTCCACGGGGGAACTTCTCAGCTAGATCAGGATAGTGAACTCGCCATTTATGCGATTCTGTCGTCGAGCACTACGATCGATTCACCCTTGTCTTTCTATCCCATTCAGGTGAACTTTGAGAGCTGTTCCTTGCATGGAACTGCCTTGATTCGGAACGTTTAAGAGCATCTTTGTCCTAGTGCAAGGGCACTTACTAATCCAAATAGGAAAGCTGAGCGACATTCTGCTTCC